GTGTGTATATATGTATATATATGTATATATATGTGTATATGTGTGTATATATGTGTGTATGTATATGTATATATGTATGTATATATGTATGTATATATGTATGTATATATGTATGTATATATATATGTATACATTTATGTATATATATATATGTATACATTTATGTATATATATATATATATGTATATATGTATGTGTATATATATGTGTGTATATGTATGTGTATATATATGTGTGTATATGTATGTGTATATATATGTACATATATATATATATATATGTCTGTATATATGTGTATATATGTATGAATATATGTATGTATACATTTGTGTATATGTATGTGTATATATATGTGTGTATATATATATGTATATATGTATGTGTATATGTCTGTATGTATATATGTATATAAATGTATGTGTGCATATATGTGTATGTATATATATATATATATGTTTATGTGTATATATATGTGTATGTGTATATATGTGTATATATATGTATAAATATGTGTGTATATGTGTCTATATATATGTATATATATGTGTGTATATATATGTATATACATGTGTATATATATGTGTGTATGTATATGTACAGGTCCTTCTCAAAAATTAGCATATTGTGATAAAGGTCATTATTTTCCATAATGTAATTATAAAAATGAAACTTTCATATATTTCAGATTCATTGCGCACCAACTGAAATATTTCAGGTCTTTAATTGTTTTAATCCTGAATATGTGTTTCATATCATGAAAAGGTTCTCTAAACAAGCTATTAACCTAACCATCTGAATCAACGACATACCTCTAAACACCTGCAAAAGATTCCTGAGGCTTTTAAAAACTCCCAGCCTTGTTCATTACTCAAAACCGCAATCATGGGTAAGACGGCCGACCTGACTGCTGTCCAGAAGGCCATCATTGACACCCTCAAGCAAGAGGGTAAGACACAGAAATAAATTGCTGAACGAATAGGCTGTTCCCAGAGTGTTGTATCAAGGCACCTCAGTGGGAAGTCTGTGGGAAGGGAAAAGTGTGGCAGAAAACGCTGCACAACGAGAAGAGGTGACCGGACCCTGAGGAGGATTGTGGAGAAGGGCCGATTCCAGACCTTGGGGGACCTGCGGAAGCAGTGGACTGAGTCTGGAGTAGAAACATCCAGAGCCACCGTGCACAGGCATGTGCAGGAAATGGGCTACAGGTGCTGCTTTCCCCAGGTCAAGCCACTCTTGAACAAGAGACTGTGTCAGAAGCATCTCGCCTGGGACTGCTCCTGAGTGGTACAAAGTTATGTTCTCTGATTACAGTAAATTGTGCATTTTCTTTGGAAATCAAGGTCCCAGATTCTGAAGGATGAGAGGAGACACAGAATACACATTGCTTGAGGTCCAGTGTCAAGTTTCCACAGTCACTGGGGTGTCATGTCAGCTGCTGGTGTTGGTCCACTGTGTTTTATCAAGGGCAGGGTCAATGCAGCTAGCTATTAGGAGATGCTGGAGCACTTCATGCTTCCATCTGCTGAAAAGCTTTATGGAGATGAAAATTTCATTTTTCAGCACGACTTGGCACCTTCTCACAGTGCCAAACCACTGGTAAATGGTTTACTGACCATGGTATTACTGTGCTCAATTGGCCTGCCAACTCTCTTGAACTGAACCCCATAGAGAACCTGTGGGATATTGTGAAGAGAAAGTTGAGAGACGCAAGACCCAACACTCTGGATGAGCTTAAGGCCGCAATCGAAGCATCCTGGGCCTCCATAACACCTCAGCAGTGCCACAGGCTGATTGCCTCCATGCCACGCCGCATTGAAGCAGTCATTCATGCAAAAGGATTCCCGACCAAGTATTGAGTGCATAACTGAACATGATTATTTGAAGGTTGGCATTTTTTGTATTAAAAACACTTGTCTTTTATTGGTGGGATGAAATATGCTAATTTTTTGGGACAGGCATTTTGGGTTTTCATGAGCTGTATGCCATAATCATCAGTATTAAAACAATTAAAGACCTGAAATATTTCAGTTGGTGTGCAATGAATCTGAAATATATGAAAGTTTCATTTTTATCATTACATTATGGAAAATAATGACCTTTATCACACTATGCTAATTTTTTTTAGAAGGACCTGTACATATACACACATACACATATATATACATATACACACATATACATATATATACATATACAAGCAGAGGTAACTCGTTCCAGAGTCTTTGTCCTGCTACAGAGAAGGCCCTGTCACCTCTGCGCTTAAGACGAGATCCTGGAACTATGAGGGGCAACTGGTCCGCTGACCTCAGGGAACGCGGTGGGACATACGGTTGT